CGGGGCTATTCTGAAAAGGAACTAGGACCCCTGCCTGCGCCCTTGGACGCCTGGACCCCGGCTCTGGAGCCGAGGCCCGCGTGGGGTGCGGGGGAACCTCGAGCTCCACGCGCTCGCAGCTGGCGTCTGGGTGCGCCGTCGGCGCGTCCGCGACCGCAGTCTCGCGGCTCCCGGGAGGTGTAGGACCTCCCCGCCCTGGTCCCCAGATCACACCAAGGCTCGGCTCGCGGGCCCCGCGGCCGTGGCTCCGCCCGTTCCTCCGCGCTGGGGTGGGGAGGGCAGCGCAGGTGTGAGGGTCACGTTCCCCCGACTGCAGTCCTGCGGGGAACAATTTCCAACTCCTCCAAGGAAATGCAAAAAAAAAAAAAAATCTCTTCACGTTTCTGGTTTGCGGTTTTGTTTCTGCTATTTTGAGGGTGGGGGACAAAAAGCAAAACTTTCTACAGAAGAATGTCGCAGCACACACGGTGCTGCAAAGTGTTTCTTCAGGGCGCTTTAGAAAACCCCCCTGGTCCTGCTTTCTGCACGGCCACGGAGCAGAATAATGAAACCAAAGACTTTTATTTTATAAACCACTTGATCTTTGCTTGGGAAACTCTATTAATTGAATGGGTTTGCCTTTTTTGCCAGTCCCCTTTATCATTATTTATGGGCTTTAAATTGTTTAAAGTTCCCTTGACGTTCAATTTACAAGTTTGGGGACTTTTTTTGTTCTGCCTTTTGTCCTGGAGAAAGACATCGTGTTGGAAGTGCTTTGAAAAGCCAAACATGAGAGGTTGGCAATGAAAGGGAAGCGGGCGAGATCCCTTTTAATTCCGTTCTGTTGGTGAATGGCTCTTTTACATAATTGCAGGAGCTATTTCAAAGCCAGCCAAGGGCTGCCTTCACTTAGAACCACATGGAGTCTATTTTGGGCTTTCAGATTTAAAAAAAAAAAAAAAAAAAAAAAATGGCTGAATAAAATAGTTTAAAAAGATGAGGCTTCAATGCTTTCTGCTACTTGCAAATTGGTGTGTCTGATGGGGAATTTTACACAAGCACCCCTTTGTAAGTGCATCTTGAGCTTGGGAGGGACTGTTCTGGGTTAGCTGGGTGTGAATCCCAATTGCCCTTCCATAAATAAAACCCATCCCAAGCTATTTCCCAACTATTGCCAGGAGCAAGAGCTGCGGCAATGACCTAATGATCAGGCCACTCAAAGTCCCTATAAATAAAAACAACATGGTTGCCCGAGAAACCGGCCTGTAGCCTGGGACTGGGCGGCGGGCCGGAACACCCGGCCCGCTAAGCCCGCGGGTTTCTCCGCACCCACGGAGACCTGGGGCTCCCACGCTGCCTTCTCTCCACGACCACACGGGACCTCGACCCTGGCGGCATCGTGGAAGCGCGCGGTTAGCGGTGCTTCCTTCTCCAGGCTGGACTCCACAGGCCAACACAAGTTTGCTGCATGAATATTCATTTCCTTGTGCATTGAGCATTTTACACTCAGCCTCCATACACCTGCGTGCAAAAGCTGACTGGGACAGCCCCGAAGCGTGGCGACAACTTAATTACCTTCACATTTACTGACGTCTGATGTTTTAAGTGGCCTAATTCGGTCTTGACACCAGCTTGGCACCGGCCGAGGAAAGTGTCCAGGGGCTGGGCCAACTTCATCCCGACTGGAGTTTCCCCGGAAAAAAAAAGTTCGCAGAAGTTAACTGGAGTTGGAGGACGCAAGATCTCCCTTCGGGTGCATCCTTCGCTCTTCCTCCTCGGAGGGAGGGGAGAGGGGACACCTAAGGCAAAGTTGCAAAGGTCTGTGCCGGCTGGTTTTCCCGCGCAGCCTGGGCCGAGCTGAGTCACCGAGAGCTCTACAGTTGGAGGGAGTTCCGAGCTAGGCAGGTCGGAATCCGAAGGATGGATAAGCGGTGTACCTGTCTCTCGCTGCCCAGAACTCTCTCCAAGGAGCAGTGGAAAAACTCTAAAGGCTTTTATTATCCACTGTCTCCTCGCTCTGAACGCTTTGTAGGTAGCTCAGGTGCCCCAAATGAATCTTGTTAACCACGGCGAAACACAAGGATCCTTTTATGACGCGAACAGTCGTTTTCTAAGCAGTTAAGCATTAGATGAGAAAATATGACTGCACTGCATTCGAGAAAAAGCACACTAGTAAATAAAATTCGTATTGATGAGAATTCTCTTCACTCCTTAACTAATAAAAGGACATTAGTACTATAACCCCTGTAGTCAATACTTTCCATGGCAGTTTATGGGTGCAAATAATATGCCATCAAATTATTTCAAGTGTACCTATAATTCAGTGGACCTCAATCTCCTTGCTGAACTTTAAATGTGGAATGATCACCGAAATAATCAAAGGAAGCTCTGTCCGTTGGAGGGTAATCAGGGGATGCAAGTCTCTAGAACAACATTTTTACGCCAAAATAGCAAAGTGGATGGCAAATCTGCTTAGGTAAAATGAGTAACAGCTTACACAGACGTGCCAGTGTCAAGCAGCGAAGGGACCCGGCTGTATCAACGTAAATCAAGCAGTCGAGCGTTTTTTTTTTTTTTTCTTTAGCATTCAAAAAACAAGGTAACCCTGCCCAAGACGGTGTGACTGTAACTATCTCATAAAGAGAGGGAGTATTTACTATGCTCATAAAGAAACCAGACTTTTGCCCTGGGCTTCTATTTTTTATTTTTCTTTTCCTTTTCTTCTTGTGCTTCCTTTGCAGGAGTGGAGAAAGAGGGATAGCGCTTACAGAGCCCACAGACGTCTCCTTCCCCAAGGATCCCAACGGGAATTAATTTCCCCTCACGCCGCCTAAGCCACCTCGGGGTCTGGGCGTGAAGGGAGTGGAGGCAATACAGTCAGCGTCCTAATGAATTCCTTTCAAAGCGCCTGCGGCCGGAGCCACATCTATTACTGCGGCCCGGAGTGGGGAAACGCGCTGGAGACGCCTTTGTCCTGGTGGGGGGGGGGGCGGCTGGGGGGAGGAGGCTAGGAGAGGGAGGGCGGCTGGTGACGGGGACAGCGAGTTTTCTCAGCCCTCCGGGGCGCCGAGGGTGCACCCTCCCCTCGCTCCTCCAGGGCCCGTTGGGTGGGCAGTGGGTCCCCGGCCAGACTCCCGGCTGAGGAGGTGGTCCGGGATTCAGACGTCCCCCAGGGGGCCTTCGGGTTAAAGCCAGAGAAAAAAGAAGAGCGAGAAAGAAGAGCTTCAAGAATCAGGTCGATAAATTCATAAAGGTCGATTTATCTTTATCTCCCAATTAAATGTGCTTGTAAGTGATACATAGCACACGTCCAACACGGGCCAACTCCCCAGCCACTAGCTCCTTGGCGTGAGCTGATGTTTAATGGCCGGCGTTACAGCGCTCTTCCCTCCTCTCCTCCCGAGTCCGGTGCTTGTAGGCCGTTCCGGGCGAACGTCTAGACCCGGCAAGTGGGAGCCGAGGCCCTGAAGGCGCGTGGAAGCCCCGCGCGCGCTGGCGCGCTTTGCACGGTCTGCCCTTGCCACGAAAGGATTCCATTTGAAAAGGGAATACAAGAGCTGAAACTTTTGTTTTTATCATGGTGAAGGGGATAAGAACATGCCTAACACTCACCCCATCCCCGCCAATTCCCTTACTCCCAAGTTCTGGGGTTTTACCATTGTCGAGACAGGGGAAACATCTTGAGGGAATCGACTCCATCCTGCAGTAGGCAAAGGGGAACCGCGCACCCTCGAGTCCTCGCGCTGGAAACCTGGCGGCGGCGCCGGGGTGAGCGCTCCCTCCGTTCTCAACGTGCTTAATTAGCGCCTATTTACAAAGCGCAGCATTTATTTGCGCAAACATCATAAAGCTTTCATCAGGATAATCTCACGTTATACAAACTGGAGCCACAGCAACTCCCCCCTTCCTCCCCGAGGATGGAGCAGATAAAGGACTCGCTTTATTATCATAATTATCGTGGCTGTTATTTTGGTGCGCAGGCAAAGTGTGTAAATAGGTGCGATGATTAAGAATGTCATGAAAAATGAGACGGGATCGCTCACTGGAGGGCCCAGCTCGGGATGGGGGCATCGGCAGCCTCCCCGCGGCGCCGGGAACGCGGGGGGCGCCTCGAGCAACCCGGCGGGTTCCCTGCGGCGGGCAGGGGCTGCTAGCTCCCGGCCGGCGCCCTATGGGCGGACCTGGAGGGGCAAGACCCTGCCCCCAACTCCGGGAACCTCGCCCGGACCCCGGGAGCAGCAGCAGCACGCAGCAGGTTTGTTCCAAAGCATGTATACCAAAGAAAGAAAACGCCCGCGGTTTAGACGCGGCCGTCGCTAGCCCCGAAAGCCGCCCTTGGAGGCGGCCTCGTTGAGGCTGCCGAGCCTCGAGTTTCAAGCCTAGGAGGTGCCAATGGCCCCTTTCAAGTTTGTGCGGCGCGGGCCAGGCGCACAAGCTCCGGCTCTCTGGGCCGCTCGCTGAGCTCGCGGCGTCCACAGCCTGCTCTCGGCCAGCCCTGGTGGAAGGGGCGGAGCCCCGCTTTCGCCCCGCCCACTCCTGGCGCAGCCAATAGGCGGCGGCTCCCGGCCCCACGTGAGGGGAGCCCGGCCCGGCAGCAGGCAAAATGTGAATGAGAAAGAGGAGCGCGATTTAAAGGTGCTGGCGGCGCCCGCAGAAGACAAGTGCGCCAGCTTCGCGCGCTCCCCTGCGGCCCGCAGGAGGCGACCGACAGCCAGACAGACGGACGGACGCGCAGAGGGCTGCGAGCCCGGGCCGAGGGCCGCGTAAGCGACGCGCGCGGGCTCCGACGGGCAAACGGCGGGCGGCAGCTCCAGAGAGCCCGCGGGGCCCGGGCGCCCGCTCCACTCCGGGGCGCACGGCCTCACCCGCCCACCGCCCGCACCAGCTCCCGCCAGGCATGCAGCCGGCCCAGGACTGAGGGGTATCTGCCCTCCGGGTCCCGCTCGGCCCCTGCCCGGTGCACCAAGCTGTGCTCCCGGCGCCTGGCGGGCTTCCCGGTGGCGGCGCGGCGCGGGGACTTTTCGCCTCTCGCGGGCCTCTCCCGAGCGCGTCTATGAGCGCAGCGTTCCCGCCGTCGCTGATGATGATGCAGCGCCCGCTGGGGAGTAGTACCGCCTTCAGCATAGACTCGCTGATCGGCAGCCCGCCGCAGCCCAGCCCCGGCCATTTCGTCTACACTGGCTACCCTATGTTCATGCCCTACCGGCCGGTGGTGCTGCCGCCGCCGCCGCCGCCGCCGCCCGCGCTGCCCCAGGCCGCGCTGCAGCCGGCGCTGCCGCCCGCGCACCCTCACCACCAGATCCCCAGCCTGCCCACCAGCTTCTGCTCCAGCTTGGCGCAGGGCATGGCGCTCACCTCCACGCTCATGGCCACGCTGCCCGGCGGCTTCTCCGCGTCTCCCCAGCACCAGGAGGCGGCGGCTGCCCGGAAGTTCGCGCCGCAGCCGCTGCCTGGCGGTGGCAACTTCGACAAGGCGGAGGCGCTGCAAGCCGACGCGGAGGATGGCAAAGGCTTCTTGGCCAAGGAGGGCTCGCTGCTTGCCTTCTCCGCGGCCGAGGCTGTGCAGGCGTCGCTCGGTGAGTCGGCGGCGCGCGCGACCCGGGCGGGAGGGCGCGGGGGCGCGCCAGCTCCGTGTTCCCGCGGGGACCGAGGGGATGAGGCCGAGCCCCCGCCCGCCTCCCGCCCCGGATCCCCCGGGCCTGAGGAGCCGGAGGATGCAGCGGAGCTGCGCGGTGGGGCCTCCGGAGGGCATTTAGAGCCACGCAACAAGCGCGGGGACGGGGGGCGGGGGCGGGGTGCGCATTCAGAGCCCCAGGTCAGCTGCTGCTCTGAGCGGCGAATTTATCTGCTCGCCAGTTTGGCCGAGTCTCGCACTCCCCCATCTCCAGCGCTGTGACCTGGGATCCCGGGTAGGTTTCAGCCTTTGGGGAGGGGGGTTGGGCTGCGCGTCTTCGCAGGGAGGGTGCCGAAGGGCGTCCAGACCTATTAAACCCCTTTACCGGGCTTGCTGCTTGCCTGGGAGAATTGGATTCCTAGGAGGCTGTGCGTCCGCATGTGTGTGCTGGGGTGTCCGGTGGGAACTTCTAAGGCTACAAAACGTCCCTTTGACCAACATCACCTGTCTCAAAAACCGACATGGTCTGGGATCTGCACCTCCCTGTGCACTCACTCTGGCTGCGATGAAATTGAAGTTCACAGAATTTTGGCGGCGGCGGCGGCGGCGGCGGCGGGGAGGGAGGTGGGCGGGCAGGATGCATCGTGAACTCCCCCTCAGTCCTCACCCAGCCCCGACCCCGGGGACAAAGAGGACGCTCTCTTGGGCCTCACGCCTCCTGTTACTTCTGCCTTAAGCTGCGGGAGGCCGGGAGGGTGCAGAGGAGGCCTGGTGGCCCCTTGAGTGATGGTTCTGGGCAAAGGGCCGTCGCCTGTACTGTCTCCTCCTCTCCCTTGAGCTTTCTCACGCCACCCCCCCCACCCCTTCTCTACCCCTCAAAGGCCAGGAAATCACAATGTGTTAATGTCACAGAAAGACCATCCGCTAAGGGGGGGAAATGCCCGAGTGACGGTGGGAAAGGGAAAGGAAGGCCAGTGTGCGAAATGTAATAAAACGCCGTTTGGTTTTGCTTTCAGTCGGGGCTGTCAGAGGGCAAGGGAAAGACGAGTCAAAGGTGGAAGATGACCCGAAGGGCAAGGAGGAGAATCTCTCGCTGGAGAGCGACCTGGACTACAGCTCGGACGACAATCTGACCGGCCAAGCGGCTCACAAGGGGGAAGACGCCGGCCACGCGCTGGAGGAGACGCCGCCGGGCGGCGGCGGCGCGGGCGGCACCACGTCCACGGGCAAGAACCGGCGGCGGCGGACTGCCTTCACCAGCGAGCAGCTCCTCGAGCTAGAGAAGGAGTTCCACTGCAAAAAGTACCTCTCGCTGACCGAGCGCTCACAGATCGCTCACGCCCTCAAACTCAGCGAGGTGCAGGTGAAAATCTGGTTCCAGAACCGCCGGGCCAAGTGGAAACGGGTGAAAGCCGGCAATGCCAATTCCAAGACAGGGGAGCCCTCCAGGAACCCCAAGATCGTTGTCCCCATCCCCGTCCATGTCAGCAGGTTCGCCATCAGAAGTCAGCATCAGCAGCTGGAGCAGGCCCGCCCCTGAGGGACCAGGGAGGGCTAGGGCCTGGACCGCCGTGGAGAAGCCACCGTGCCCGAGGGAACCCATGGTGGACTCCACCGTGTTTGAGGCAAAACTCAAAGTTACCCCCCAACTTTGGACATCCCAAGCAAATGGAGAGTATATTCATGAAACAGGCTTGAAAGACTGCTTTTGAAGGGGCTACAGCTACACCTGAAGACACACTAAATATTTATTATACTATCCTACTTTGTACATTAGATGGCTATATAGACTGGATCTCAGCTGCTGTATTTTGAAAGTTATAGGACCCAGCTACCCAGTAATGTCCTCCAGCCACATTCCAGAAGAGAACAAAACCTCTGCTGTAACCTGCCACGCATAGCAGCCACTTTTCCATACTTTTCCGAAGGTAAACATCACATGCAGGAGCAAACACTGGGGTCTCCATTTATTTTTGTTTCTATTCTGGCTTTTTTAGTTGACTGAAAAGCAGACGTTTTGGGGCAGCCTGGAAATTCGCTTTGCTTTGGTTTTGCCTGGCTTTCTTTCCTGGGGTTGCATATCCTATGAGCCATGTCTGAAGCACGTCCCCGTTGTGTTTAATTTATTTCAATGTAGCTTATTTTCGTATAAGTTATGACATTAAAACAATCTCAGTCTTGTGAATAATAAAAAGGAGAGAGAGAGGGAAAAGACCAGTTCTTGGGTCTCATAAGTTTGTCCAGATTTGACTGTTTAGAGGGAACCGCCTGCTGGCGTGTGGCCAGGCAGTTGGTCTGAGACCAGTACTGGATGAACACCCCGTGTCCAGGGCCTCCTCAAGCCGGCCGGACATGAGCCGCACAGCACCTCACCAGGTTTGAAATAGGCCAGCAAGAGCTCCAACTGGGTTATCAATTGGAGCAAAGCTCATTTTCACCTTAGAAATCTAACATCTTCCCCTCTGCTCAGCCTAACCAGTACCTAGGAGGCTGGCAAACTTTGGCCAGAGGAGGTGGGCGCCGGAGGAGGGAAAGTGAATGCGGGTATGGGTGGCTTTGCACAAACTCCTGCTTCTCTAAATCGACTGCAGCCGGGGAGGGAACGCGTTTCCTTGCAAACATCCCGGACCCGAAAAGAAGCGGTGCTCGCTCGCGGGGCAGGGCCGAGCACTCATAAATCAGCCTCCGGGCGTGATCTTCCGACGGGAGCAGAAACCCAACTAGCCGAGCTGGGCTTCCCGGCAGAGCTCAGCTCGGAGGCGGAGGCGGGCAGTGAACGCCCGCGGGCCGGGCACCTCCCTCTCCGGGCGGGGTCGGAGCGGGGCGGGACCCGACCACCGCCCCACCCCGAGGAACGCCGGCCAGCTCGGGGGGCCGGTCCGCGGGGCTGGGGGTGAGAGCTGGGCACCTCCCCCTCCTCGGGGTGGGGGGCGCGGCCAGCCGGGCGCGGGAGGGGCGTGTCCGGATTCCCAGTCCCGCTCCTAGACCACCGCGGACCGCGCCCCTCGAGCTCGGCCAGTTCCCCGCGCTGCTCCTTTCCCGACCCGAAGCGCCCGGCCGGACGCGAGCGGCCAGGCCTTCCGGAGATTGCCGCGGACTGGCCGCGGGTGACCCAGGGGCGCGGTGCCAGAGCCCTCGCGGCCACCAAACCAGCAGCCCGAAGAGCGAAGAGAAGCCGGCGGCTTCGCCAGCCTCAGCCTTCGGAATGGAGGCCGGGGAACGGATTGCGAAGCAGCCGCGCGCCTCACTCACCGCGGTTCTCGGTCCAAGAAGGCGAAATCCGTCGCCGTGGGTCAATACTAATACTGACTTAATTTATACGGCTTACGACCCGTCACCTCTGCGCGGAGGAGGGGCATTGGGGACCGAGGTTTCAGCCCGAACTTCAGGCGCAAAGTGAGGGCCGGGCGCGACCGAGACACCGATTTCCGCCGCGTTCCCAAGATTTCCAGGGACGGAAGATGGTCCAGGCTTGGTTTTTGAGCACAGTGATACTGAGTGGCCGTTCCTCCGAGGGCCTCAGTCCGCTCTGCGGGGAGCGGAGAGCTGTGGAGGCTCCTTGCTGCCCCCCACCCAGCGCCCTGGGGCCTGAGGTGGGAGGTGCGCCCGGGCCGCTCCCTGCGCGGCGCACGGTCCCCAAGGCCCCGCCGCTCCCGCCGATGCCGCCGGTAGCCCGCCAGTGATAGCGCCCGGGTCGCCAGTTGGCGTCATCTGCTCGCGGCAGGTCCGCACCGGCCACTGGCCGCCGCCGCAGCAGCAGTGGAGGCCCGTGGAGACGCCGTCCCCGCCCCCCATACCCGGGCCTCTCCATCCCCAGGCCGGATATGTGCCCCTGGCAGAACCGCGGCCGGTGGCGAAGAGTCCGGGCCTGAGGATCTGGGGGTGCTGCGGCCTCCGCGGCGGGGACGCCCCCACCTGGCGCTCCTGGTCTGGGGAAGGAACCCCGGGTGTTGAGAGCAGGGCACTCCCCGCAGATCCTGGCGTGCCCCCCATCCCATGTACCCTTGCACCATAACAGGTGTAACCCCTACCCACCTTCTCCAAAAGTCCATGGTAGGGATGGAAGGCACAGAGTGGAGGGGCCCAAAGCCTTGGCTTCAGAAACCTGTGGGGGAAAGTGAAGCTCCCTAGCAAGGAGCGGGGTGCCTTCAGGGAGCCTCATGGTGGGGCTCAAGCTCCCAGGCCCACCCCAGCTGCGCTGGTCCTTGGCCTTTGGAAACAGGAGGGGTAGAGGGCCTGGGGCTACCCTAGCCTGGTGGACGCCGCGGCACCGGCCACCGCTGGGGCCCCCTGCCCTCTCTGGGCTCCGTCTCCCTCCTCCCCAACCTCCGAACACGAACACCGGGCGGCCCTGAGAGCCCAGCGCGGAGGCCCAGGCCCGAGAGACAGGCCGAGGGGAGGAAGATAAACAAGCGTCGCTTGATGGCCGCTGTCATCATGGCCGTCATCATGGCTTTCATTTGGCTGCCTAATGAGTCACATCACAGGCAGAGAGAAAAATTGTCAATCGCCCGGGCCCTAATGAATTTTTTTGCAAATTGTAATCAAGCCAGGCCGTCTCAGCTGGCTGATTAATGAGACCCACGAGGCTCGGCCAGCACCTCAGCTTTTTATTCCATCCCGTCCTCTCTGCACTAAATTAACAGCAACTTGTCTGAGCTTCACATTAACTGCCAATGATTAATTCTGATGGGGGGGCCTGAAGAATAGCTTGTTCTAATAGGCTCTGGCCTGAGATGCTGTTGGAAATTAATACACTTCCCCTTTGGCTGCCGGCTTTAATCCAAGGTTGGGTTTTGACATCACTATATTTGTTGTTACAATAAATCCCACTTACATCTGCAGATCAAATAATTACGCTTGGGAGCGCTGCGGACCTGCACCCATCCCCTCCCTGCGCTAGGGCTCTGGGAGCCTGTCTGCGCCCTGCATCCACCAACCAGGGTAGGGATCCTGGGGGCCGGGGGTGGGGGGCGCGGAGGAATAGTCACCCAGCCCCAGCCCTAGCCCCTAGCCTCGGGGAGCTGGGTTCCCTTGGCCTTTGCAGAACTGAGGGTAGTTTGAAAACCTGCAGCCACGTCTCCACGTTCTGGGGGCAGGGCCCTCTTAGATTGGTCTTGGGCCTTAAACAACCTCCTGCCCCTGCTCCCCGCTGGGGCTGGGAGAACCCCTCGGAGCACCAGGGCTTGGACTTTCCCACCTCAGACCCGTGCTGGAATTGTTGAGACTCAGCACATGCTTCTGTGCCCAGTTTTTGCCACCCAGTCCTCAGCCCCAGGGTGGTATTTCGCAGGGACTTTTCAGCTAAAGGGGGTGGGGTGAGGGGGAGGTGGGGAGGTGGGGAGGTGGGGTGGCCTTCTAGGCCTCTCAAGACCAGATTTGCCTGGCGGAACCATCCCGATTCTACGGCTGTCTGCGCGCCGGCCAGTCCACACGAGGCATGTAGCTGGCCAGAGCACCTGCATTCCACCCTTTCTCTCAGGGTCAGGGCCCGCTCAGTCTTGCGTCTGTTTGTTCGAGCTTAATTGGCTTAATCATTTCAGCTGTGTCTGGCAAGCCTCGAACAGGGCCTCCGGGCCGCTCCCGCCGGCCCCGGGCCTGTCCCAAGCAGAGCGGTGCTCTGTCCCCCTTGGCAGAGGGTTCTGCTGGGTGCACTAGAAGCTGGGAGGGACACTCTGGCGGCCTCAGGATCCGACCACTGCCTGATTCTCGCCTTGGGGCCTTCTCAGCTCCCTGTGGCGGTCCCGAGTAGGGGTCTCTAGTGGTTGGAGCGCCGCGCATTCTGCGGCCTTGGCCACAGAGTCCGTTGCCTTCTCTTGTCACCTGCAGGAGGCTTGGGTGACCACACGGCCTAGTGGCGTGCCTGCGCTCAGCCTCCCTGGCGAGGACGCTTTTGTGTATGTGCCCCTATTCCTGTCCCGGGAGACCCCAGGCCTCTGCCCAGGCACGCACAGCAGGAACAGGTGGTCCGCTTGCACCCTCTGATGTGCCAAGGCTTCCCACACAACCAAGGCACAGCGGGGCCTCTCTCTGCCAAAGCTGGATGCCGGGCTCTGAGGTCTAGAGGGGAGCCGAGGTCTGGGGTCTGCCGGGAAGGGGTTGCCGGGCAAAGGGAGGTGGCATTAATCTTCATTTCGGCCCCTTATGGTGTAAACAGGAGAAATACGATCTTGGTAACCGAACATGAATGCAAATCACACCGTCAGAGTAATAAAGCACCTGAAACCCCGACACACAAAAGCAACACCATATGTATGAAGACAACCTGCATAAATTATAAATTACATCATAAAAATTGATTGCCGATTTGAACAGTTCAGAAGTGAGAGACCTAAGCTGACTTCCACTCTCTCTGGCTTTGGGGAAAGGTCTGGGAGCACATTCCCTTCGATGGGCATCGGACCAGGGTAACTGGGCCCAGGGTCTCCTGCCAGCACTCCGGACCGATCTGCTTGCATCGGAGGTGGGGCGCGCACCGCCGGCTCTGCCCGGAGAGGTGAGGAGAGCCCCGAAACTCTGGAAGCCTACGAAGTTCCGTGCGGGTGCGGCGAGAGGCGCCACAGGCACCGGGGCTGCTGCGCATCAAGGCCCGGTCTGGATTCCAAAACCGCCCCACCAGACCAAGGAATGCCGCCCCTAGACCCCAACCCTTCCAGCCGGCACTCAGATGTCTAGCTCTGAGCCAGAGTTCCCTGCGAGGGTGTCCCTCCGCGCGGAGTCGGCTGTGTGATGAGCAAGGGTGTGAGTGTGGGCGGGTGTGTGAGCGCGCGGAGAGTGCTAGCATGTGTGTAGTT